CTTGCGTTTGATCCTTGACTTACAATTCACCGACATACTCAGTAACTCGCTTTGAGGTCTAATGGGTGAATAACGAAAGCGTCTAACTTCTACTGCTGATGAGCCCGACGAAAACTCTGTTGGTCAGTCAGAATTCATAAAGGAAAAACGCGTTCATAAGCGGTTAATGCCCAACGACCAAATTGGTGCATCAAAAGAGCTAAAGGTGTCGGGTGACATTAACATACCGTGTGGCACCAGCTCTGAGATGCCTGGAATGATAGCAGGTGGAAATGACAGCGACAATTCCTACGAGCGCAAGCTTTCGGACATTATGGAGTATCTTGATAGTGGTAAACGGAGTATTCACCCTCCATTTTCTGCATGTACTTCGCAAATTAGTACGACGTCTGGTATTTCAAGTCAGCTCAGTGCTCAACCCAGGCAATCTGATGTCAAAACTAAAAGCGAGTATGCGCTTAGCAATAATGGTGGTGCGGAAAATGCTGCAATTGTGGATTTAGAATCTTCTTGTGGCCTTGTAACCGAAGAAGAAGGAGCTTTCATGCGAGGATTTCAGCCGTGGTTTGACAGTTGGGGAGATTTTTCAGTGCCGTCGACGCACACTGCGAATCTACCTACCAATTGCTCCCGCGTCGCTCTTTATATCGATCTTATACGCGCAACAAAAAGCTCACGTCCAAAGGAGTACTCGAAAACGATCCGCGTATAGTTCCAGTCGACAGCTTTGATAAGTATTCCTGCACGCTAATGTGTACACATGGAATAAGAAGCGTGCTACTGAAAAAGGAAAAAGACAACGCAGAATCATACGATACCTTGGTTGTACGGCCCAAGTCAATGGAGTTGTTACTCGGAATGCAGATAACGAGTGGAAAGGGCATGCAACATGGCATGGGTCGCATAACCATTTGAGAAGTGAGCGGCTATACCAGTATTATGCTGAAAACCGCCGCATTAAAGATCCCGAAGTGCTGCGACAAATTGCCGACATGAAGAGTGCTGGTGCGGACGCCAAGGGAATTCTAGATTATCTACGGCGAAATACAGGTCAGTTAATTTTCGTGGCTAATTGGGGTGATGTGTCAAGAAATTGCTCACTCCTCTGTTTGTTCTGCTTCCTAGGCAAAAAGACCCAACTGAGAGATGTCCACAATACTGTAGCAAAAATAAATCGCGAACGCCGAGCTTCGACGTCGGATGAACAGCGCACTGAAGCATTAATTCGGGAGTTTTGCTTGATATCAGGAAATTCCGCATGTATGTTCACTAACGACGGCACTAGCGTCATTGATGTAGTTTGCATTCAGTCCGCTCGGCAAAAGAGACTATTCCGCGCATTCCCGGAGGTCATTCTCGTCGACACAACCCACTGCACTAACCGTAATTTGTACAAATGGTTACTGATATTCGGGAAGGTATTGCAAACGTTTGATCTAGTGCAATTATAAATCGATCTACTTGCAAGTTAATGCTTCTTACAGGGACAATCGTGCATCATTCAATTCTTGAGCGAGAGACAGAAACCAACCTGCTTCTTTCTATTGGACAGTTCAAGAAGGAGAATCCATCGTGGAACAATGTGCGAGCGATAGTCTCAGATAAAGACTTTAACGAAAAAGAAGTCCTCGCGGAGGCGTTTCCGAATGCGAGGCAGCTTCTATGCCAGTTTCATGTTATTGCAAGGTTGCGACTGAAGGTAAAATTCAGGTGAACATGTCGATGTGTATCTTTGCTTACAGTGACGCTGGTCTGTTGAATTAGGTTGGTGAACTGGCAGACATAACTATCGAGAAGAAACAAGCAGTGAAGGCCTCTTGCCATCTCATGATGAAATCGCGAAATGCGATGGAGTACAAGAACCACAAGGACACGATGTTACGGTTGCTAGGAGGAAACTCGTCAGATCCATTCTACAAGTACTCCCAGGCGAATTGGGAGCTTTGCAAAGATGAGTGGGTGGATTACCACAGGGACAACGTACCGCATTTATCAAACCACACGAACAACAGGATTGAATGATTCCTCGAATCCATGCTCTCGTCCCACGAATGGTGTGACGAATGTTACACCATGGAGCAGTTTTTTTTTGTTTGAGACTACTTCATCACTGTTCCCGACCACTAGACTTTGATGATACATGCTAATACATGCTACGTAGTACACAATTGCATTTACCGTTGCTATTTCAGTTTACAATGTGCGACGACGAACACATTGAAAGGTGTAGTGGTCAAACAAGAAATGACGATTGTCCGGCAGCATTGCATTTTGCACAACTTACTCACACCTCAGACGAAACAACATGAACATTGTAAACGGTAAGTCAATCAATTTGTACACTTCTGCAAGAAGTGCACCAAACTGATGGACTATTTAATTATTGTGACCATCAAAAATACATATGACCTTTTGGATTGGAATTCCATAAGATAGTTTATTAGCTACGATAGACGTGCATACTATGAGTCTTTCGGCTAAAACTCAGAGAACTTACGCTCGTGTCGAGGCCTGTCAATCCGGTGGAGGATTGGCAGGAAAGGCCAGTGATTTTTCCTTACGGATTGATGGACCACTTGGTCAAAGGGGGTTTTGTGCCTGGGGCTTCCTGTGGTGAAGCAGTGCGTTACTGAAAAGGTGAAGATAAGATTTTAATGAATCATTCTGGAATTCACCAACTCGAACTCAAGTGACGTACCTTTTCCGCTACCTTCTGCCGCTGCTGTAGACGTCGTAGCTG